TTGTTGCTGTATGTATATTTTTGACCCAGCAGATTTGGTGACATTTTCAGCAGACCCATAATACTTGCAACTTTCATGCCGTACACTTTTATACGGACAGTAAGGTAAGTACTAGGCTACATCTGTAATGAGTCTAGAAGGTTTTATACATATGTCCATAACAGAGCACAGCGCATTCGCCAGTCTTCAAGGCCAGAACAGTGGCACTATGTGCGCACAGAAGAAAACCCAGCAGACCATGCGTCAAGGTCATTGTCAGCAGCTCAGCTAAAAAAGTCAACCTGGTTCACCGGACCATCTTTCATCYACCGTCCTCCTGCAGAGACAACACAAGTGAGTGCAATGTTCGACTTAATCGAACCTGACAAAGACTCTGAAATCAGGCCAGAAATCAGAACTTATGTTTCTCATCTCCAAGTACTGAACAGTAAATGTTTTGAGCGCTTTTCTACCTTCAAGTCCTTAGTCAGAGCCATAGCAAATCTTATCCACATTGCAAAATCTTTCAATGGAACTAATCCAAACAGCAAATGCAAAGGCTGGCACAAATGTCGCCTACCTCATACTCCAGAGGAGAYAGCTCAAGCAAAAACTGTCATCCTCAAAGAGACACAAAAGGCCCACTTTGAAAAAKAACTTTTTGCTCTTAAGGCTGGCAAGCCGATCCCAAAGCAGAGCCCTCTAAAAAAGCTCAGTCCAATCCTGCAAGACGGTCTCATTTCTGTTGGAGGCCGACTCAAACATTCAGAAATTGAGAACGTTGAAAAGAGTCCAGTAATTCTCCCTAAACACAGTCACGTCTCCCTCCTGCTCACTCGCCATCACCACGAGCTAGTGGAGCATCAAGGCCATCATCTAACGGAAGGAGCAATCAGGGCTGCTGACTGTGGCTTTTAGGCGGCAAAACCCTAGTCAACTCAGTAATCCACAAATGTTTAACCTGCCGCAAACTGCGTGAAAACAAGAACAGCAACTCATGGCAGATTTACCTCCTGAACGCCTAAAAACTTGTTCTCCTTTTACTTATGTTGGTCTTGATGTCTTCGGGCCCTGGACCATAACTACCAGGCGTACCAGGGGCGGAGCACCTGAGAGTAAACGATGGGCCATTATGTTTACCTGCATGAGTTCAAGAGCTGTCCATATTGAGGTAATCGAATCTCTAGACACATCCAGCTGCATAAATGCCCTCCGTCGCTTCTTTGCCCTAAGAGGCCCCACCAAACAGTTGTTATCTGATCGGGGAACCAATTTTATTGGAGCTTCAAAGGAACTGGGAATGGACAAATCAATTCAGAAGTACCTAACAGAGCAGGGTTGCAGCTGGGAGTTCAATCCGCCACGTGCCTCCCACATGGGAGGTTCTTGGGAGCGCATGATTGGAGTCGCCCGCAGGATCTTGGACTCCATGCTTCTGCAAAACAAGATAAAACTGACTCACAAAGTGCTGTGCACACTCATGGCCGAAGTTACAGCTATCATAAATGCTAGGCCACTTGTTCCAGTGTCGTCGGATCCAGAGAACCCCTTTATTCTGTCCCCAGCAATGCTCATTACWCAGAAATCTTGCCTTCTACCCCCGCCTGGAGACTTCTTGAATAAAGACCTTTACACCAAACAATGGAGACAAGTCCAAGCTCTTTCCAACCAGTTCTGGACACGCTGGAGACAAGAGTATTTGCCCACATTACAACAAAGGCAGAAATGGACTGTACCACATAGGAACCTCCAAGTTGGTGACCTAGTTCTGCTAAAGGACAAGCAAGTTGCACGTAACAGCTGGCCCATGGCAAGGGTCACTGCCACGTTCCCAGGCAAGGACAGTCGAGTAAGGAAGATTGAGGTAAAGGCATGGGACCAAGACTGTGTAAAGACATTTATGCGACCAGTTACAGAAGTTATCCTTCTCATGCCAAAGGACTGAATGTACAATGGATTGTTTAGTATAGTGG